GATCCTTTCCACCGTGACAGATTTCTTTGGTAGAAAAGTATATTGAAGAGCAGCTGTTGGAGCGGATTCCTGGATTTAACATGGCAGCTTTCACCACAACTTTACAGTGAGTTGAGCTTGACTCTGCGTTTTTTTCCTCCCCCTTCCTCCTCCACTCTGAAAAAAAGACCCTCCTTTTTCTTCATTGCATGAACATGAAGGTAGAGAGCACTTGGTGGTCAGGTCCTGGGGTGGGAGGCCCTCAAAAACCCTCTAGTGGAATCTTGAAGAGACAATCGGTTTCAGTCTTTGATGAAACAGCCATCCTTTTCTTTTGCAGGCACCATAAAGATGAAGTGGCTGGTGACATATTTGACATGCTGCTCACGTTTACAGATTTTCTGGCTTTTAAAGAAATGTTTCTGGACTACAGAGCAGTAAGTCACTCTTGCTCACTTTGTCAGCCACATCGAACCACTGAGCAAATTCCAAGTAGACCTGTCAAGCACAGACCGGCTGCCAGGTTTCTCCCCACGATTGGCCAGTGTCAGTCTGGCAGCTAGCAAGGTGTCAGGAGCATAGCTGCTTTCCTCCATCAGGGACCCAGTACCCTTATTCAGGGACTGCATGCTTAACGTTTTGTCACAACAGGTCCCAGGTACCTCTTATTAGACCCTAAATAATCAAAAGGACAAAACCGAAAAGCAGGTCTCATTGCCTTGCCTCTCTTATAACGCAGGCTCTTAATAGGAAAAAATATATTTCAGTGAAGAGAGGGAACACTTTTTAAAGAATGATGGGGCCAGTGCTGAACAAGAATGCAAAATAACTTCCTTCCCCCTCCAGTCTGCTCCCCTGTGGCCCACCCTCCCAGCCCAGCACCTCCTTCCCCATGCCAGAGGCACGGTTCTGAGCTAGAAAGGACTTTTTTTTCCCCTCCTATTCCTTGCCTCTTAGGATTGTTTTTTTTCTCACGCAGGAAAAAGAAGGCCGGGGACTGGACTTAAGCAGCGGTTTAGTGGTGACTTCATTGTGCAAATCATCTTCTGTGCCAGCTTCCCAGAATGACCTGCGGCCCTAGGTCCCACCACCAGGCAATGTGATCTTTCTGGACGTTGCCAGCCAATAGACTGGAAGAGGCTCTGGCGGTGTGACAGAATACATGTTGGAAAGACTATTCTGCAACTCCTTATTAATGTTAAGTATTGATGGGTTAGAAGACAATCGTCTGACCCTCCTGAGACCCTGAAGCACCTTCTCATGTTCAGTTAATCCTAGCACTCCTCCCCCAAGCAGACCCCGCTCAGGCCTCTGCGTCAGGCTCCGCCAGAGCAAGCCCAAGGCCAGCATTGCCCCTTCCCCAGCATACGTGTTGGTAGGTCAACGGCATTTGGAAGAACCCGCCATCTCCAGCCCTCTTTGGTTCAGCAGGCTCTGCATGTCCTCCAGGCTTTTTGTGTGCTCACACAGCTCTCTGTATTCGTCTCTCAGACTTGCAGCCTCAGTGGGCTTTTTGCCTGTGGGGTAATGTGTCTCTAGGCTGTCAGTCAAGCCAGCTGCCTGCCCAGCTGAGCTTTCTGCAGCTCATCCCATTCCAGCTAGTTAGAATCAACTGAGAGATGTCCCTTGCCTGAAACTACACGTGAAAATCATTTCCTTGTCTTATTGTGCAGTCCTTGCATCATTGCCTTCTGCTGGTCCTGATGTGGTCTGTTTCTAGAATTCTCTTAAGCATTTTTAGAAAAATATTTTTATAGAAAAATACTCAGGCTAACCTAGTGGATATAATCTTGGAGCTTCCACGATTACCCACTTAAAGATCAAAGTATTATATGCTGTGTGCTTTTTAGCTGTTAGTGCTATGAAAGCAAAAATGCTTTCTACGTTGGCCTTCCTGGTTTACTGGGTGCCAACAAGTGTGTGCTTATGCTGGAAGTAGGCTCAAAGGTCTCCCTTTCCTGCAGCATGTTAAGTGTTTGTACAGGTTTGCTAAAACCCTTTCTGTATAAATCAATTTGTTAGGTTTTCTGTTGGGGTAGGGTCTCTGTAGTTCCTCCTGTCAAAATCTCCCTACCAAGATGGTGTTCCACTGAGCTAGTTCAGCATGAGTTAGGAGAGAGCAGACAGCTTTACTGGTCACCTGTATGCTTTGATTTAGCACAATATTTCATAGAAATTACTGACCAGAAAACACGGATGTCACATCTCTAGAAAGAAAGAACATGGTATTTCAATTCCCATTGTGTACCCTCTATATTGTTTTTAAGTAAAAATGAGACTCTATACTGATTTCAATCACCTGTTCTGGTTTTAAAGTATGAGCTATATAGACTGTTTTTCTGTACTGTTGTGTGGCGCTTATTAAATACTTTTTTGTACCATGAGTAAACCTGGAGGTGCGTTGCAAGAACCGTGATTCTTCACAGGGTCTTCCCTTCTTTACTGTCACTGCTGCCATTGGGTCACTGCTACTCTGGTCTTTCACCCCTTTCAAGCCGAAGACTTGCCAGCTTTTTCAAATGCTGCCTCTGTTGGCCTTGCTTTCCCTTCTTGCCCTTTTGATAAAGAGGCCTGCGCACTGTAGGCCCAGCATGTTCGAAGTACTTGATGAAGACCTGTTGGTCTGCCTGGTGGGGGGAAAAAGCCATGGATGTCGACAAGTCCAAAGAATCACTTATGAAAAACGAAAACAGAGGCAAACGGTTCTTTTCCACTCAGAGGGGAAAAAAAGCAGGAAGCCTGTCGTAGCTAAATATTAGCAGATAGGCTTTCTGATTTCTTGTAAAACAAACTAGTGGGGCGCATGGGTGGCTCAGTTGGTTAAGCATCTGCTTTCGGCTCAGGTCATGATCCCAGGGTCCCAGGATTGAGCCTGCATCGGGCTCCCTGCTCAGCAGGGAGTCTGCTTCTCCCTCTCCCCGTGCTCATGCTTGCGTTCGCTCTGAAATAAAATCTTAAAAAACAAACAAACAAACAAAAAAAACCCCACCAACTAGAAGCCTGTCTGTCCGCACAGGAACTTCTGTTCTCGTGTGTCACCTCTGAGGGCCTCAGGGCTGGTCGGGCCAGCCTCAGAGACAGCTGCATTGTCGTACTGCTGCGGCCTCCTCACCCGTGGAAAAAAATATTCAGGGCGCCTGGGTGGCTCAGTTGGTTAAGCGACTGCCTTCGGCTCAGGTCATGATCCTGGAGTCCCGGGATCGAGTCCCGCGTCGGGCTCCCTGCTCGGCGGGGAGTCTGCTTCTCCCTCTGACCCTCTTCCCTCTCGTGCTCTCTATCTCTCATTCTCTCTCTCTCAAATAAATAAATAAATAAATAATCAAAAAAAAAAAAGAAAACAATATTCACCTGAACTGCGGGGTCGAAGGATGGCGGGGGGGGCCCACGGGCCTAAACCAAAAGGGAGGAGTCTGAGCACACTGACGTCTGCAAGGGAGTAGGCTGTTGTAGCAGGTCAGAAACCCTGAAGACTTAACGATTTTGTTTCCTCTTTAGCCTCAAAAGAAAATGGGTTGATCTTAAGACTGAACTCTTCTCTGGTTGAATTCTGGAACAACTAGAAACTGATCAAATTCTGAGACACTTGAGAGTAAAAAGGGCTGCTGTTTGTGTTTCCAACAGGCAGGAACTGGGCCTGTCGGGGGCTGACTGGGATGTGGGTGTCTGGCCACACCCCCAAGTCCCCCCCCTTCCAGCTGGAGTTGTTGCCACATCTGTGCGACTTTACAGCAGCCACACACCGCTGTCCGCAGGGCTCTGTCCCAAGACCCTGCCCCCCCAATACCTGAGATCACAGATAGCACCAAACTCTCTACTGTGTTTTTCCCTCTACATCCCCCCCATGATGAAAGTTCAATTTCAGGGGTGCCTGGGTGGCTCAGTCGTTAAGTGTCTGCCTTCAGCTCAGGTCATGATCCCAGGGTTCTGGGATCGAGCCCCGCATCGGGCTCCCTGCTCGGCAGGAAGCCTGCTTCTCCCTCTCCCTCTCCCCCTGCTTGTGTTCCCTCTCTTGCTGTGTCTCCCTCTGTCAAATAAATAAATAAAATCTTAAAAAAAAAAAGTTCAATTTCAAAAGGCATAGTAAGAGATAAAGTAAAACCATTCTAACAATATACTGTTAACGAAAGTTATGTGAGCGTGGTCTCTCAAGATCTATTGTCCTGTACTCTTCTGATGACGGGAGCTGACACGGCACCTACAGGAGGAGAGGGGAAGGGAAGGGAAGGGCGCAGGAGCTGGGAGCAGAGTGACCTTGCTGTCAGCCTTCTCAGGAGGATCATCTGCTTCCTGACTACTGTTGGTCACAAGTCACAGAAACTGCAGAACCCAGAAAAGGACCCAGGGGTGCCCAAAAATGCCTTCAGCTGATGATTCAAAGCATGTTACTTGGTGGCAGCAAAAGCACGAGCTCAGTCAGGAGGATTGCCCCTCGCTGGGGTCTGCGCCAGCTTCCCGGATCAAGCGGGGCCGTCGGCTTTGATGACATGCTCCCTGAACTGCACAAAACCTACCAGGGAGCGGACAGGAGGGCAATCTTGAGTCCAGCAAGATGACCTAATGAGCCTAAAGCTAGAGTCATGATTTAGTGTTCAGCTGAGACCCTTGTGAGAGTAAAAGGGGCTGTTCAACCTGTCGGGACACACGGCATAAGGCAGGGCTGTCCCCGGCAGAGCAGGCAGGAAGTGGGTCAGGCTGCCTCGGGTCAAGGACATCACGGGTGCTGCTGAGCAACTCCAGAACTGGACTTGCCCTCCACAGGCATCTGGAACCCCTGTCACTGCCATCCTTACCTGCACCTTCCCAGAATTTATAAGCATCTACAACCAGGATTACCCAACACCTTTTCCAAATAAGTTCTTCCATTTTTATTTTTGTAAAAAAACCCCCAAAAAACAAAGTCACCACCAAGCACAGGACAACTCACCAGGCAAGGTCCCGGTTCCCTCTCCCTCCTCCATGGCCCCCGTGCCTCATCAGCAGGGTCAGGGAAGCAGTCAGCATGGTTAGCTTTTCCCCAGGGGAGTATTACAAACAAGGGCTGGGGAGAGGGAGGAAGGCTGGCTGGGTATTTCATCACTGAGAAGTTGCTTCCAACCGATTGTGTGAAATCACTCGTACGTTTGGAATGCAGGAGAGGAAGACCATGCTGTCAGATACCATAACCCTCTTCCCACAAAGGTCTCCCTTGAAGCAGCCTCTGGTTTGGGGAAGGGTCAAGTCAGAACTGTGTTTTAAGGTGGCGGTGGTGGGGGGCACGTGGGTGGCTCAGCCGGTTAAGTGGCCAACTCTTGATCTCAGCTCAGGTCTCAGTCGTGAGTTCAAGCCCTGCATTGGGCTCCACGCAGGGCATGGAGCCTACTTAAGAAAAAACAAATTGTGTTTTAAGGAATCAGACCGGTTTTGAAAACTTGCTCTGCAGTCCCAGAACAAAGACTAAGATAAATACACGTAGCTTGTTAGGCTTATTCTACGGAGGGTCAGGGGCTGCAGGTCTGGAGTCCTTGTTAGTGTACTTAGTGTTGGTGAGAAGCCTGGGCCCCAGCCTGGGACACTGAAGTAAAAAGACAAAGCAGAGACACTGACAGCCCCATATCCCCCGTCACCTTCCACTAAATACAGATGGGCAGACAGTCTCGGCCACTGGCCTCCTTCCAGCCCCTGTGCTTGCTGACTTGGGCCAAACCAGAGGATGGATCCTGATTCCTCAGGAGTGCTGGGTGAGCCCGAGTCTGACAAGCAGAGCAAGTGTAGTCCCTTCCAGGCCAACTCCACAGAGGGCTCAGGCCTCGGGCTCACGGGCCGCCCCACACTGGGACCCGGCTACAGCCTTCAGCCCCAAGGTGGGCCATGGCACGGGTGGTCTAGGCGTAGCCCCCAGCCATCTGACTGGTGGCTGCATTGCTGCCCACTCCCCGCCAGGCCTGGAAGCTGAAGAAAGCGCTCGCTCCGTAGGCAATCATCACTAAACACGAAAAGAACTGGAAGAGAAAGAAGACACCAGAGCTGAGTTGGTGTGCAGTGTGGCCCCGGGGGGAGGGGGGGGTGAAGCCCAGGGGGGACAGATACGAGCCCCAGACAGCCTCAGATGGGCGCGCACACACACCCGGAGTAGCGCCCCCCCAGTTAACTAGAACAAGCCGCTCTGGTAGCCACGCCAACTCCAATTAGCCACACATTACCTACGTATTTGTGGGGGTGCCGACGTTACATTCTTGCGGGGGAAACCATGACTAACCATGCAGGCAAGGTAGGTCAGACTGTGACACGGGCAACTGGACAATGTGCTGAGAGTGACCGAGGGGTAGGAACTCCTTGAGACACACATCAGGGACTTAGTTTTAAAAAGACAACATTCAAAAGGTACCCAGGAATTTTCTGGAATCAGTTCAAAGGTGCCCTGCAGCCACATTCTGAAACTGAGGAAACCCATGCCCTGGTCTCATTCCTGCCCTACCCTGGACTGTGCCTCTGTCTGTTCACTTCGCTGAGCCTCAGTTTCCTTGTCTGTCCAGAGGGGACAGGACTGGTAGTTCCTGTCCCCTCACTGTGGGAGTCAGGGGGTCCTGTGAGAAAATGTCTGTGCAGGGCCCATGGACTGAGGCGTGACAGGGGTGGACACGGTCACTGGTCTGCCGCTGGCTGCCTGATGTGAATGGAGCCCAAGTTTGGGCTTCCTGAGAGCTGTAAATCCCCCCCAAATGATTTCAACCAAAAGGTTTGCATGCGCCCTTTTCAAGAAGGGTGGGCAGTTTTTAACAGATTCTCCAAGGGGGCACAGGACTCTAAGTCAGTATGGAGCACCTGCTTCCCAGCAAAGTTCAACAACGAACCCAAAACTTCTATTTACCATCAAAAGTATTTCCCAAGCGTTCCAGTTCCTTGAGGTTTACTGCTAATTATGGAAGACAAAGCTCAGTGTCCCTGAAACCCCCGAGAAGGAGGTCCCTTGGGGGTGGCAGGTGCTGGCCTCGGACCAGAGAGTGGTGGAAGTCCAGGGGCACAGACTTGTTTGACCCATTCCCCGCCCCCATCACCGCCAAGGGCGCCCCCAGGAACCATACTCACAGAGGCCGCCGCACGCTGGTTATAGGGCCGGGTGCCCTTCAGTGACGTCAGCTCGACGGTGGCAGAGCAGGTGATGAAGGCCGTGATGTAGAGAACAGTGGCGCCCACATTGAATATCATTAACTGGGGGGTGAGGGGAGAGGAGAACAGGCTTAAGATGGCAGACTCTTCCAGTAAGTGTGGAACCTCTTGGCTCCCCCCGCCCCGGCACACCCCTTTAGTATCCAGAACAGGGGCTGGGGCTCAAGGATGGGGACAGATACTATGCTCCTCGGGACGGCAGTCCACATGGGGTCAACCCTGAGGCCATCTGAGCGGGGAGCATAAACACACGTAGGGCTTAGAGGGGAGGGGAAATGATGAGAAGGCCTGAAGTGATCTGGTCAGGGGCAGTGACAGCCCCACAAGGCAAAACCCCATTCCCAGTGGCAGGAGAGCAAGCCAAGGCCATCTCTGAGAGCACCAGCTAAAGAATTCCAGGGCCACACTCTTCCACGCAAGCTTGGCCCCTCTTGGCACTGCATGTCTTGGTCCTGAGGCTGGCCCTGGGAAGACCTCCCATCCCTCTCTGCCTCCAGGGGGAGGAATCTGTGTCTGCCTTTGGGCCACATCCTAGGCTCAAGGCCACCATATCAAATGCCAGGGTGAGGACCCAGCAGAATTCTGGGCCACGCTGGCAGAAAGGACCCTCAGCTGACATTCAGGCCCGAGTCCCATTTCCCCAGTGCTTGGCCCCTGGAGCCAGTAAACAGTCTTAGCAGAGACTGCAAACTGGTGGCCCTCAGGAACATTTGGTTCAACCTACAGACTAAAAAAAAAAAAAATTACCAACATTCTAAAATGAGATTTCATATGAAAAGCTGACGATCTCATATAAAACTTTCCATCTTAAAATATTAAGATTTGGCACCAAAGGGCCTGCACTCCCAACTGAGAGTAGGAGCCGGGTAGAGGTGGTTCCCTATGGAGAGACGGGTACGGGTTCTCCAAAACCTCTTCTTGACCTATTTCACACCCTCACCTTGCCCAGGCCCCATAGGGGGCTTGTAGCCCCCACCCCAGAAAATGCCAATTTGACAAACCCAATCCAGTCGTCTCTAGATGCAGTCAAGCCTTATCTGCTAATAGGCCAGGAGTCTAAGAGACACTGCCCTGCTATCTTGGCCCAGGAAAGGAGCCTCCTTCCAACAACAGCTGGTGGCCGGAGCCCCAGATCTGTGCTCAGAGACACCGAGGCCCCCGCCATCTTGGGAGATTTCTTTCTTCAAAGCTCCTAGGACATGGGGCCGGGGCTGGACCCTAGCCAGGAAGTCCAGCCATCCCCTCCTCATCCCAGAATCTTCCCTCCAAGCCCAGCGCCCACCACAAACACTGCCTGGCTCCTGCCAGTGATGTCAAGATCTAACAAACCCGTTCTGTCTTGAGGATGACTCACGTTTCCTCAGTTTAAACAGTCATTGAATTCCAAACAATGCCGCCTAGTCCCAGCCTTGCTTGGCTTACAATCATGCGCCTCTCTTGCCTCGCTGCTCACTGAAAAGCCTCAGACCCCACAGCTGCAGGAGTTTTCCGGGTCAGAGAAAAAAGCCCAGCAAGCTTTCTGTATCTGGCCGGGGTACTTCCTATGGCCACTCTCAGCTCTGTGTCCCGAGGAGACTGACCTGAACCAAGCGGGAGGCCACCCTCTCCTGGGCTGTCGTGGCCTCATCCTGGGTAATTCCTGATAGCTCAGCCCAGCCTCCAGGCCCAGGGCTGCCAGAGTCTGACAGACCCCCTGCAACACAGGTTCAAATCCCAACTGCCCCCCAAACCAGGAAAACACTTTCAAGATTCCAAATGCAGTGGGCTCTCCATTCAAGAGCCCGTCATGGGGCGCCTGGGTGGCTCAGTGGTTAAGCGTCTGCCTTCGGCTCAGGTCGTGATCCCAGGGTCCTGGGATCGAGTCCAGCATCGGGCTGCCCGCTCAGCGGGGAGCCTGCTTCTCCCTCTGCCTGCTGCTCGCCCTGCTTGTGCTCTCTCTCTCAAATAAATAAATAAAATCTAAGAAAGAAAAAAAAAAAAAGAGAGCCCCTCACTTCTCCTCCTTCCCTGAAGAAAGCCAAGCCTATGTCCTCCCTAATTTGTGGCCATTGATCCTCCCTCCCCCACTCAGCTCTGCAGCTGGCTGAGGGCCAACCCCCACCAGCCCCTTCTCATGTAGGGAAGGTGGCTCTGTCACAGCTGCTCCCAGAGGCAGAGGGGTCAGCCTGGAAGCAACAGCCCCCCTCCAACACCGTGCTCCCACTGGGACTCACCACCAGCGGCCAGGGCACCATGTACATTTTCATGTGCAGCTGAAACAGGTAGAGGATGAAAAAGACGATTGTCACCAGCCAGAGGAAGACAGCCACGAACATGACCCAGCCGTAGGCCGGGTACAGGTGGTACGGGGTGTCAGCAATCAGGGCCCACACCAGCAGCCCCAGCACCTGGAGGGATAAGACAGGGCCAGGGTCCCCCAGAGCCCCCACCACTCTGGCTGGAGGCCACGGGGCTCCCTCTGCAGGACACATTTCTCCTTTAGTCAAGAAATATTTATTTGGCAGGCGCCTGGGTGGCTCAGTCGTTGAGCGTCTGCCTTCGGCTCGGGTCATGATCCCAGGGTCCTGGGATCGAGTCCCACATCGGGCTCCCTGCTCGGCAGGAAGCCTGCTTCTCCCTCTCCCACTCCCCCTGCTTGTGTTCCTGCTCTCGCTGTGTCTCTCTCTGTCAAATAAATAAATAAAATCTTTTTTAAAAAAAAAATATTTATTTGGCTCCTAGTGCATACCACTGTATACCAAGCCCTTGCCTAGTAACTTCTCCCTCCTTTTGGGTCTTAGCTGAAATGTTGCACGCTTCCCTGCTCCTCCAGTCTGGGTTCTAGAACCTTCTTTTGTGCCCGCCTGGCACCCCCCCCCCCGCCCAGGCACCCACCACCCAGGACCAGGATTCTGTTTCCTTCCCCTGACTTGAGTTCCCTGAGGGCAGGACAGTGACTGTCTCATCCACAGCTGCATCCGGCGGCCAGTACACCTCCCATGGAGCCATCCTGGCCTCCTCCACGGCTTTCACCCCCTTCCTTGCTGCCCAAGATCCCCGAGGCTGGGGCATCCTCCCTTCTCCATAAAGGCATGCTTTGGAATCTCTGGAGCTAGGCATGATTCAGCGCTGGCTGCTGAAGCAGGGAGGGTCTAGCGGGGGGCTTTGGAGAAAGGCTCCTTTGCTGATGATGAAGATGCACAAAGACAACTGTCCCTCTTCTTCCTTGGATGGCATCCAGGCATTGTGGCAGCAAGGCTACAGGGGACCCTGCCACAGCCAGAAAATGAGCCAACCATCAGATGGGTCACAGAGAAGAGGCTCAGGAGCCAGCTCCATCTCTGGCTGCCAGTTCTGGAGACAAAAAGTCCCCTGGCCGAAAGCTCCTATACCAGCCCCTGGAGAGCTGGTGCTCACCCTGGAGCACGGCCAGCACTGAGCACCTGCTGCACATTCCCGTCCCAGTGCCCCTGCCAAGGGTCAAAGGGATGTTCCTGTACCCATCCCCCTACATGTGCGCAGTCAGGGCAGGAATGACCTTAGCCGAGTGGGCCAAGAGTCCAGAAATCCCTAGGAAAACGTTCCTTTCTCCTCCTCCTGCCCCTCCTGCACAAGAGGCCGGGGAAGGGTGTGGTCGGCTTTCTTCCCACTGTGAAGTGCAAGGTGGAGCCCCAGGCCTGGGAGCCAATAGCTGGGCTTCAATCCTGCCCATGATGTGGGACCCTGGGCGAGGACCTTTCCCTCTCTGCGCAGCTCCCCTGGGGCAATTCCAGTCTCCCCGCCAGAACACAGGTCCCGGGAGGAATCCGAGCTTGGTCACTGCTGTATCTCCAGGGCCCAGCGGTGCCTAGCACGTAGTACCTGCTCAATACATATGTGCGCAAAGCTAATGAGTTTCAGTTTCCTTATCCGTGAAATGGAGGTCAGAAACCTGCCCTGCACAGGAATCAGGTGTGAAATTGGTGAACATGCTGCTGGCCTTGCCCCCCTCCACCCAGGGAAAGGTCTCAGCCCATGGTGGGGGGCGGCGGTGAGAAAGGCATCCACTCCTTCTCTCCAGCAGGGATGCCACCCACACGGCACCCCGCCGGTCTCAGGGCTTCCCCTCTGCACTCCCCGCCACCCACCAGAGACGGCCTGGCAGCGGCCTGTGCGGCCCACTTTGCAGGCAAGGAAGGCGGGACAGGTGGCAGGGCCCTGCCTGCAGGCATACAAGCCAGGGGCAGAGCCCGTGAGGACCCAGAGCTGGGGTGTCTCAGCCCAGCACCCCCACCTTTTACCACTCATCCTCAGGACACCCTGCCCGAGACAGACATATCAAGGGGGCCAAGAGCCCCCAGAGCTGGGTGAGGCCACTGCTCTGAAGGAGAACCACCCCCCCCAACTCAGCACTTTGCAGGCCCCTCCCAGGTGAGAACTGGACTTGTCAGGGACAGTCATCTTTCCACTTCAATCAGAGTCCTTATGAGCCTCCAGGCCAACGTGCTGCCTGTTCCAACCACCAGAAAGGGAAATTAGAAAAGGCACTGAACTGAAAATCAAGAGAAGACCAATTCGGGTTCACCTTAATGTGCACCTACCAATCAATTATCGGTATGACTACTCCTAGATTTGGCCACAACGACCACTGAACGCCCTCCGGCTCTGTGCCAGGCCTCAGGTAAGCCATGAGGTTCACGGTGGGTTCACGGTTTCCCCATGACCCCCTCATCAATTGGTACTATGTATTTTCCCCATTTTCCAAACAGAAGCTCAGAGGAAAATGTGTCTGTAGCCGCCCAAGGTCAGCCAGGGGGTAAAGGGCAGGGCAGGATTGGAACCCAGACTAGTGAGAGTTACTTAGTGATGTGTGAAAGACGAGAGGACACCTGAGCTGTCTCCTGGCTCTGCCCTGCCCTCCAGCCCAGCCCCAGTCTCCAGATCAGCAAGTGCAGCCTCTGAGAGATGAAGCTGCCAGATAAGCAGCGGGAATTTCTGGGGTTCCTCCTGGCTTTGCCAACCTAGCCCTGTGCCCTTGGGAGCTGCCTCGGTTTCAAGGTCTGCTCTTCCCTCGGAACCAGACAGACTGGTTTTTCCCGTCCACTCTCCCCCAGCCCCAAGAATCTGAATGGCGCACCCCAGCCTAGGGCCCCAGGGAGACCCCACCAGGACAGGGTGGCCCCACATACACGGACCCCTCGGCTAGCTTGAGCGGCCTCCTTTCCCTCCGGCTGTGGACCCGTCCTCCAGCCGGAAGAAGGGGCCAGAGGACTTGTCCTGTGGTCCACTGTGCAAGAGTAAACCCCACTTGGGACGCCTGGGTGGCTCAGTCGTTAAGCGTCTGCCTTCAGCTCAGGTCGTGATCCCGGGGTCCTGGGAATGAGTCTCACATCGGGCTCCTTGCTCAGTGAGGAGCCTGCTTCTCCCTCTCCCTCTACTGCTCCCCCTGCTTGTGCTCTCTCTCTCTCTCTCTGACAAACAAATAAATAAAAATCTTTAAAAAAAAAAAGAGTAAACCCCACTTTTCAGAGAGAGGGGGACAGCAGTAGGTAGCCAAGGGTGGAGAGCAGAAGAAGGCCACCTGTCTCCAGGGCCTGGCCCAGGCCCCTCTGTCCAGGGCAGTCGCCTTGCAGCTCGGATGCCCCTCTCTGGGATCCTTCATTCAACAAGTATCTATTGGACACGTACTGCCTTGTGAGCCAAACAGACAAATAGCCCTGCTCTCCCATTGTTCCCTCTCTACTGAGGGGACCCAGATAAAAGCCCAATGCACTGGTGAATGCAAGTGAGCCACGGGGTAACTGCTATGGGGAAAGTGCAGCTGACAAGAGACAAGCAGTGGGGTCATTTGCAATTTCGGGTAAGAGACCAAGAAAGATCTCACCGGGAAGGTGACCTGTGAGCAGCCGGGACAGCGAGGACTGAGGCTAGGAGAGAGGCATGGAACAGATTCTCCTTCAGAGCCTCCAGAAGAAACCGACTGTGCCAACATCTTGCGAACTTCTAGCCTCCAGGGCTGTGAGACAATAACTTTCTACCATCTGAAGCCTCCCAGTTTACGGTAGTTTTGTTATAGCAGCCCCGGGAAACCAATACATCTTAGCTGCTCTTCGACAGCAGACGGATGTCATGATCTGACTAACTGTGATACTGGCATCAGTTTTGACGGAAGGCTGTCCTACTAACTCCCTGGGTTCAGGCTCTGGCCCTGCCAACTTACCAGCTGCGTGACCTGGGGCAAGTTGCTGAACCTCTCTGTGCCTTAGTATCCTCATCTTCAAAATGTGCCCATCTCAGGGGGTAGTTCTGAGATTAAAGTAATATACAGGGACGCCTGGGTGGCTCAGTCGGTTAAGCGGCTGCCTTCAGCTCAGGTCATGGTCCCAGGGTCCTGGGATTGAGTCCCACATCAGGCTCCTTGCTCAGC